TAGCCCATCCAACATCAAATACAAAGCAAACATAAATTAGTCTACACTTATAAATTAGTCTTAACATAAAACAAATAGCTTAAGCAAAGCAAACATAGAGGCTTAAATCTTAATTCAAATCCATCCAAAGCAAGCATTGCAACATCAACCATCTTTATCAATCCACACTCATAGGCTCCTCAATGGTTGTAGTAGGACATGAAGTTGAGTTATCTACAAGAGAAATGAAAATAGCTTAAGTAATAATTTGGATAGTTTAGAGTTCATATAATAAAATAGATTAAGATACATACAAATTATTGTCTTACCTAGATTTTCATAAGTCTCCAAGTCATCCAAATAGTCTCTTACTTGCATAGAATCATGTGTAGACTTCAACCAATTTTGAGTACAAACAAGAGCCTCCACCATCTTAGGATTCAAAGAACTCCTAAATGGATCCAGAATGCGACCACCAGTACTAAAAGCTGACTCGGAAGCAACTGTGGAGACTTGGACAACAAGTACGTCACGGGCAATTTGAGACAAAACCTTGAACTTCTTACTTTTATCTTTCCACCATTCTAAAATATCAAAATCAAGGGTTAAAGGGTTCACATTCTCATCAGCTAGATACCTGTCCAGGTCATTTTTCTCCATATAATTCCCTCGTTGCTTCAAGAATTGACTTAACAACTCATTGACCGCTTGAACAGGTCGTTCTTTGGGAGTATTTGCTGCCATTTCTCCATTTTTTTCATTATCAACCCCTTTACCATAAAAGGACATCAAACTAGACAATGTGTCATCCACTTTTTTGCATAACTTAAAGGCTGTGGTAGCATCATAAACCATGCTAAAACAGTACCGAAGATAGTCCCTTTTATATCTAGGGTCAAATACAACAGTAATAAACAATATACAGTTAATATTTTCCCCATTGCCCCAATTTTTTCAAACTTCCTTCTCATCCCAAAAGCCATGGTCGACAACAAGCAATCACTACTTTCACACAACTCACTCAACTGTCTTTGAATGAATAAAAAACAATCATTCTGTGTGCTAATCATTTAAAAAAAAGTAACGACCAAAAAAAATAATTTACTGATAATTTTTTATTTTTAATCATTAAATTTGTATTAAAAATTATTTATTATACATATTTTTTAAAATTTTATATAATTTTAATATACTCTAAAAGTCAAAAACTAATCGTCCGGAATAGGCCTATTCATGGGTTGGGTTGGTGCGGGGTACAAATTTTTTTTTCCCGCCCCAAAGGGTGCGAGTTGCACATATTTTGCCCCAACGATATTAGAAAATTTTCACAACCCAATGATGTTCGGGTTGGGTTGGGGCGGTGCGGGGTGGGTTGGGTGGTCGGTTTCAACATTCAAAAAATCAAGAACTTAAAGTTCAATATAATATTCAAACTTCATCATTAAATAGAAATAGCAACCAT